TCGTATTAATTCCTTTTATGCTAGTCAATTTCTTTTAGCAAGAAATGCAAGTGATTTTTGGGTTGTTTCTTTGGCGGAAATGGCATGTTTTTGCAGGAACTCTGTCACAGGGACCAGTTGCAAACTTTGGACTGCATCGGATCAGTTCCACTAGCAGCCATCAGAGATAGATTGTCCAGCCCATCTCTTCACAGTGCTATATGTACTGTTGTAAAAAGCATGTCCAGATATCTACCTGCGCTTAGTCATCTGAATTTGGAACTCATACAGAAAACCTTAGACACCGTGGCAGGAAAATTGCAGTTTGTAAAGAGCCTCAATACTCAGTTTGTTCTTCTCCCAGGTCATATTGAAATTACACGTGCAGACAAGGAATCCTACTTTCCTGGGTGGGAGGGGGGATCTCCCCATCGAAGTCTCTACTTTGTTGACCAGGGAAAGGCCTGCATTATAATCGCTGAGCCTCCAGCATGTATTTCTGTACTTGATGTCATTGCAATTGTTGTGAGCCAGGTTTTAGGGTCCCCTATTCCTTTGCCGATTGCGTCTTTGTTTTTCAGCCCCGAAGGTTCTGAATCTATTGTTATCGATGTTATGAAAATATGTTCCGACAAGAGAGAACTTGAACAAAGACACTGGAGCAATAGTTTGCTAGGAAACGAAATACAGCCTCAAGATGCCATACAAGTGCAGTTTCACCCGTTGAGACCCTTCTATAGAGGAGAAATAGTGGCTTGGAGGTTGCAGAATGGAGAGAAGTTGCGATATGGTAGAGTTCCAGAAGATGTAAGTCCATCGGCAGGGCAGGCACTGTACAGATTGAAGGTGGAAATGATGGCTGGAGTGACAGAACTGCTTTTGTCTTCGCAAGTCTTCTCTTTCAAAAATATCTCTATGGGAATTGCGGGTTCATCAGCAAGCTTACAGGATGATGTCCCTGCAATTATTGGTAGAAGGACTCATATAGAGATTTTAGAAAATTCTAGAACAGAAAGAACGAGATCCTCACAGGTTGGCTTAGTTCTCATATGGTACTTTGTTGATACTATAAATTCTTAATTGCAGAAAACTCTACTGATCCTATTTTGTGACTGTGAGATTTCGTGGGACCACTATCAACTGTTCTAAAAGCTTAAGCTGTTAGATGAAGACGTGATTTAATATTTAATTATTCTAACACTCCTCCTCATGCTTAGTCTGATCTTTTTTGCCTAGTACTAAGTGTGGACATATTTAATTGGAGAGGCAATTGTGGCCTGGAAAGTTTGAACTCAGGACCTCCAGCTCTGATACCATGTGAGATTTTGTGGGACCACACCAACTATTCTAAAAGCTTAAGTTGTTAGATGAATGCATGGTTTAATATTTAATTATTCTAACAGTGACAACTGGGGACTCTGTAGTGGCGTGAAATTAGCTGATTGAAGTTTGAAATTTTACACTATATTTTTTTACATTCAACTTTGTGCCATTCGCACAGAGAAGAATTATAGTTTAGTTATTCTTGGGAAAGTTGGAAAACTCTAGAAAATAATTATTAGAATGGACTAAGGAATAAGCAATATAGCAGGGCAAGCATACTTGGTCTATGCCGTTCCTAATCTGTGCCATCTGGATTTGGGTATCTTTTGTTTGTTTTTAATAGGATGGGTTCCTTCCAAGGTTTTATGAAAAGTAGTATCCTGCTGTACCTAAGCCAAGGTTCCTTCATCGGTTATTTTATTGCTGGAAATGCTATTCCATCTTCATAAATGCTGCCTATTGTTTCCATGTACTTTGAGAGGCATAGTCCTTGAAAAGGATATTTTTTGCAGGCTTGATTTTCTTGACTGTTGCTAATAATGCTTCTATTGTTGGCGCATGCAGTCTTGTCAAGAACTTCAATACGGCCGAATTTCTGCTGGAGAGCTGGTTCAAGCAGTTCAGGAGTTGCTTTCTGCTGCAGGAATTCATATGGATGTGGAGAAGCAGTCTCTCCTGCAAAATACCATATCCCTGCAGGATCAACTCAAGGAATCTCAAGCAGCACTTCTACTTGAACAGGTTTGAGTTGCATGTTTGTTCTGCACCATTCTCTAATTAGCGTAGGTATATGACCCTGGTGTGGTAGAACTATACTTTGAACAACAAGATAGTTTATATTACACCGTGGGCTTGAAGAGTATCCTTTGGCTACCAAATGAGCTTTCAACCTATCAACTGAAGTTCGACCAAAAAAAAAAAAAAAGCTATCAACTGAAGCATCAGGGTTACGTCACTGTATAAACTCACTCACAAACAGCAACAAACATATCGGCAGGGAGGTGCACAAGTTCTTAAGCATTGTTTTGTTGCAAAAGCAAGCATCTCTTCCTCAATAGCAGCTCTCTGATGCAGACGTGAAAGTCACCTATGGGCCCTCTTGAATTGTCGTGATACTTTCATTTTGAATTCCTTGTGTGCCTGTTCAGCATTACTGTTTCCATATGATATTTCCCTTTAATGAAGATACACAATCTTACGCATCTTTGGGTCCACCCATAGTACCATTAAATAAAACTAGATTATTAACTGCAGATCATAATTGTCATTTCCACAATAGCGACCTATGTATCTGCGATAAAGAAAGCAAGTTTATGCTCTCCATTGTAAAGTTCCATTGACTGCATGATTTATCCCGGGTGTTTTACTCTATGTATGGGAATATCTTTTTTACTGAAAACCAACATGATATTGACTACTTTTAGTATTATTTCTGCAGGAGAAGGTTGATGTGGCTTCTAAAGAAGCCGACATGGCCAAGGCGGCGTGGGTTTGTCGGGTTTGTCTGAGTGCTGAAGTGGATGTTGCCATTGTTCCCTGTGGCCATGTCCTGTGCCGTAGATGCTCGTCTGCTGTTTCAAGGTGTCCGTTCTGTCGTCTTGAGGTGCTGAAAACCATGAGAATATTTCGGCCGTGATAATAAGATCCGAGGCTCAAAGCATGGGCATCCTCACATACTCTTTGCTGCATAAAAGGGTACGGCATCTATAGAACTGTTAATAGGTGGAATTTTCATGTGAGTGAAGTCGTTATTTGCGAGCGCATATTAAATGTTGGTAGCATCTAGATTAGCAAGTAAATATTAGACGGGGGCATCCTGCGGTTCTAGCTTCGTACAATTCTTTCTGTACCAATTGCTGTACAGTAAATATCGCCTGTTGATGTACAGAGTGCAGTCGAAATACATGATATAGACGACGGTATAGAAATCGATTTTTTGTCGATGTTTTCAGGACCTGGATTTGTGGCGTGAGCATGCTCACAACTTTGTAATTAGTGATTTGAGAATTAGAGATGGCAATATATTGTTGTCAATATGAAATCAGGGCCAGCAAACCGCGCAGCAGACAGTGGCAGCATGAATGTATGTTTCGCTAATACTAAGCTTGTATAATTTCAATCGTTTTCGGTTAGACTTGATTGGAAGAGACTGGGTCACCCTCGTATACTGTGTCTTTCAAGTTGTGTAAAATCTTGGGAAAAGTGTCAAAAAAGTCCTAAAATTTTTGTATTTGTGCCAATTTAATCATAAACCTTTTGTCTTTGTGTCAATTCTGGACTCAGCGAGGGCTCGAGCCTCGCGTTGGGTTGGCCGAGGCTTGCCTTTGCCGGCCATGGGTGAGGCTCGACCTTGCCAGATCTGGCAAGGTCGTGCCTCGCCCAGCCGCTGGTGAGGGCGAGCCTCGGCAGTGGCCGGCGGGGCTCATTGACCCTAGCCTCCAGTCGGTTGCCGGACCGGTTGGAGGAAGAAGAAAGGAAAAGAAAAAAAAATTAAAAAATTGAAAAATATTAAAATATTATTAAAAGTTATCAACGTCATAGCCGGCGGTGCCACGTAGGTCGGCCGGCGTCCACGTTAGCAAAATCCGGCCAAAATTAGACGGAAGGACTGAATTGGCACAAAGACAAAATGTTTAGGACTGAATTGGTACTAAAAAAAGATTTATGACTAAATTGGCATAAATACAAAAGATTTAGGATTTTTCCAACACTTTTCCTGTAAAATCTTCATTGTAATATGAGTGGCTAAATCACACAAATGATCCCTAAACTTTGTTTCGGGAGGAGGGCCGACGGTGGCAGCGAATGGCGGGTGGGGGAGGAGGCGGTGGCGAACAGCAACACGGCCAGTGCGGAGGAAGGCGGCTAGAGGCGGCCAGCGTCGGGCAGCGGCGAGAGGGGGGCAACAACCAACGGCAAGGGGGGGCGGCGACAAGAGACGGCAAATGGCGAGAGGCGGCGGCCGGCAAGTGGGCGGCGATGGGCAGTGGGTGGGCGATCGGCTAGTAGCGAGGGCGAGCGATGAGAAGAATTTCTTATTTTTGTACCAGAAATAAAAAAGTATAAAATTTTCGCTTCTCATTTTTGTTCCAAACTTATTTCTGAAATCAAAATTTATTCCAGTTATTAAAAAATGAAATTACGTTACCAAACGAATTTCTATTCCAAACTTGTTTTTGAAACAGAAAAATAGAAACAGAATGATTATCATTCGCAGCCTAAGACTCAAGAAGGCTGAATAATAATCATTTCTACGACTATTTTGAAAATCAAATCGTTCAAAGAATTTTTGTTGAATGGTCGATTATGTAACCGAACTTTTAACTTTAGTTTGGAAAATTGACAAAATAATTAACAATAGCAAGATTTAGCTAATTTTAATTTGAGGATGATTCCTAACCCCCTTTTTGATCCATTAGCAGGTAAGTTGATTTTAATAGTACGTTGTACATATTCCTCCCCAAATTAGCTGGATTAATTCTATTGGTTATTGGTATGTAACTTATGGTCGGTAAGAGATTATTAAGTATAGTTTTTTTATTTTTTATTTCAGAGAAAAACGGGGGCCACTTGGCATTGACCTGATTAGAGGATGGGACCATGGGAGTGATCGGGACCAGGTTAGAATTGAAGTACAATTATTCAGTCAAATTAAAATACATTACACTTTGACTTCCTATTTCCACATTTGATGCCACTAAAATGAACTCTTGGTCTTCTCCATTTCATTTCTGGATTGATCACATGATAGTAAAAAATTTGGCATGTATTAAGGCCTACACAAAAGCAGGGGACCACAAAACCAGTTTCCACCTCAATGCTAAATGAATATGAAAGAGAGAAGGGACGGGGTGGATCCCATTTTGATGGCGAACGATGTACATTGATTGCCATGTGAGAATTGGTAGACGAGAAATGCTCGAGAGATTTCGATCTAATGTGATGTCGAGCAATGCGCGTGTGATGTATCGACCTTAATAACCCGGGTGTTGTAGGATCCGCAGAAACCACACTTATGGTGTAGCCAGTGGAACGGCGACGTCCCCTTTTTATGGCAATCGTTGCACAGTATATCCTACATCACCGAAAAGAGCAACTGAAAAACAAGCAGACAAGCTGCACCAGCACAAAAGATCCAAGGAAACAGAAGAGACATGTTTACCTGGGAGCGATCCCGGTATTCTTCTGGAAGCACTTCTGAGGCTAACAATGCATCAAGCATGCCAAAGTAAACCTAAAACCACAAAGAAAAACAGACTGAAACCGAATGAGAACCTGATCGTGTGTTCTAACCTTGCACAAAAGAGGTTCCGTCCTTAACTTAGACTTACGATGCACGTGAGCACAAGTTTATATAAAAGTACAAACGTTTGATAGACAGATACATTTAAGGTTTAATGTGATTTCTGTTTTCACCGAGACCAACGCAAAAAAAAGAGGCCACCTATAGTGAAGAGATTCCAGCAAGCAAAGACTAGCTAACTGTATGAGATTCATGTGATGGAAAAGTAAGAGAACTGAACTTCCCAGAATGCTTGTGAATATTATGGACCGCCCCCGGCCTAATCATACAGTTGATACTCTACTATTCTTCAGATTGAAACTTGAGGATCGAGCAATCAAATTCCTCCGACGCTCAACAAGTGGATAAGCATAGAATATTGGACACTCATTTTTCATATGGTGGCTTTTGTAAGAACAAAAAGGATTTTTATTAGTCAATTTAGGATTTTCTTTCCCCAAGCACAAGCCCAGTTTGCATCGACTGAGTGGCTTCCCACAACATTACTGAAAACTTTGTCCAAGTCCTACAAGAAATAACTGAGAGGAACCACGATGGGACTTTTCTAAAACATCTTTGAAAAACTTTATCCAAGTCCTAAAAGAAATAACCGAGAGGAACCACGATGGGACTAATCTAAAACAACATTTTAAACATCTAAAAGAGGATATAATAACCGATGTTCATACCGCCATATCTCCCAAGGATTTACTGCAAATTGGGCAGACATAATAGTGGCTGCATGTGTATGCCTGACATTAGGAAGCATGATGTTCAGTATCTTCAGAAGCTACACTCAGACACCCAAATTAGACCTGAGCAGAACCAAAGATGAGAGATACCTGGAAGCAAGCTGAATGCATGAAATGGCCACAGGGAAGTCCTTTCACAGTTGCACTCGATGTGAATAAAAAATCACAGCAGATTGGGCAATTTGTCTCCAAACCTTTTTCTCGGCACTTATGGTCAACCAACTTCATCCCCAAACAACAGTTGCAAGTCATGCAATGAAAAACATCGACCCCAAGACCCTTCCCAAGACGGCATAAATTACAAAAAGGGCAGTGGTAAATATTCCTGAAGGGAAAAAAGAAATAAGATTATTCTGGAGTGTGAATATATTTGGGGCCTTGTGCGAAAGTTGATCTCAGAGACTATGAGAATTAATAGAAATGATGTTCCAGTAAAAACTCGGTAACCAAAACTCTTTGCTAGGTAAGTGACTTAGCTTAGACGTTTTGGATATACACGAGGCATCGGACTAAAACTTTTGATAAGAATAATAACAATAATAGCAATGGACCCTCGCAACATTATGCAAGCAAGATTCAAGATTGCCACAACATATACCAACATATTTACAGAATGTGTGCTTTGCAGAAACTCTTATCTCCATTTTGCAGTTCCCACCCAACTTGAAGGATAAAGATTGATAAAAAAGGTGAAGGAAAAGATAATAGACCAACAAGGGAAAAAGATGCCGTAGTTCATCTTTTTCTTGCCATAATCCACTCGCATATGACTCTTCACATTTAACGTAGTTTTGGACAAGCAATTGAGACACAAATGCATGTGTGGAAAGAGAGATAATTCGATTGTACAGAACTTCATCAAGAATGCAACTTCTTTAACATCATTGACCTATAAAAGAAATAACTGAGAAAAAAAAAACTCAGAGAAATGATTAATTATATCATAGAAAGTGTCTGTACCTTTCATCATCAAAAAATTTACATATGCTACAGTAGTATTTTGCCATTGAGAGACCATCGCATGAAGGTGTTGCACAAATTTGTCCAATTGGCTGAATCCTAAGGCAATGCATGCACATCATTTCAGCAGTGGCTTTCCTGCACTTCGATTCAACACAGGTTTAAGAGCGAGACCATGAGAAGTATGTGAGCACTCAAGTGTGCAATATAGAACGTCCTAGGATGGTACACACAAAGTTTTATGAAGTCACCTGTCCATGGCATGGTCACTGACATTATCATGGCAGAATCTGCGTGCATACAACTTGCCATAGCAGGCAGCACGAAGCTTGTAGTTTCTCTTGTAATGCTCACAACCAAACACCTGTTTCTCTGAATCTCGAAATGATGGACAACGTCCCTGAAGTTCATCACTTGTAGAATTTTCAGCAACAGCTTCAGGTGGTTTTTGTTGAGCGGCTGTCCAGCGACTGCACAGCTAGTCATGTCAGAAAAAGGGGAAGCTAATGAATCGATGAAGCCCACACATTGGCATTGAAAACAAACCTGGTCATCAGATGTTGAATAAGATATGCCTTTCTTCTTGGGTCAAGAGTTGAATCCCTAGAAACTTTTCTTATCTCTGATTCAAGTTCACTTTGATTCATTCGGAAGATATCCTTCCATCCAGGCTTGAATGTTTCACTACGATCCAAGCTTCCACAAAAATCAGCACCTAAGAAGTGTGGATACAATACAATTTGGAATTATGAATATCTAAGTTCCAATTTGGTGATATAGCAGAAGAATGTTAACTGCAGGAACTCAAAGCTGGTGCATAAGCAAGAAGCACATTCACAAGAGAAAATAGTAAAAGCTCATGATATACCAAGAGACGAGCTACTCTCCAGTTGAGATGAGTGAAATTTGTGTATATTACTTGCATTGAACTACAAGGCCAAGTCCCTTTATATAGGGAAAGAATGAACAGTAAACCTAAATGAATGAACAGTAAACCTAAATTACATATTATGTTTAACATCCCCCGCAAACTCAAGATGAGTTGAAACAAGTCAACTGGAGTTTGGAGAGAAGATCTAAGAAGCGCCCAGGTGGATGTGTCTTTGTGAAGATATCAGCAATCTGATTAGCTGATGAAGTAAAGACAAGTCGTAGAGTGCCACGAAGAACATGAGAGCGGATGAAGTGACAATCTATCTCAATGTGTTTGGTGCGTTCGTAGAAAACATCATTATGTGCAATTTGGGTAGCACTGCGATTGTCGCAATGAAGGATTGTCCCACTATGATGACGGACTCCCATATCTTCCAGTAGCCATCGCAACCATAATAACTCCGATGTGGTATCAGCAAGAGCTCGATATTCAGCTTCTGTACTAGAACGAGCAATAGTGGATTGTTTCTTGCTACGCCAGGAGATAAGTGAAGTGCCCAAGAAAAAAACAATAACCCGTAGTGGAACGACGATCTTGAGGGTCACCGGCCCAGTCAGCATCTGAATAGGCAGTCAACTCCAATGTCGAATGAGCAGAAAAGTGAAGGCCATGAAATAACGTACCCTTGACATAGCGAAGAATACGAAGAACTGCAGCAAAGTGAGTTGTACGAGGCGCTGTCATGTACTGGCTGACAATATGAACAGCATGAGCGATGTCAGGGCGAGTAACAGTGAGATATATAAGACTGCCAACTAGCTGTCGATAGAGGGTAGGGTTTTGGAGAGGAGTCCCATCACCGGCATCAAATTTGGCATTGATCTCAAGAGGGGTCGTAACGACCTTGGTGTCCGTGAGTCCTGCTCGAGAAAGAAGATCAGTGGCATATTTGGCTTGTGAAAGATAATATCCGGATGTGTCTGAAGTAACCTCCAAGCCTAAAAAATAACTAAGTTGTCCGAGATCCTTCATCTCGAACTGTTGACCAAGATAATGCTTGAGTTTTGAAATTCCGGGACGATCATCTCCAGTAATAACCATATCATCGACATATAGAAGCAGGAGAATAGATCCACGAGAAGTATGTTGAACAAAAAGAGCGTGGTCATGGGGACTAGATTTAAAGCCAAGAGATGCCATGGTGGAGCTAAACTTGGAATACCATGCACGAGGAGATTGTTTCAATCCATATAATGCACGACGTAATCGACACACTTGGTGGGAAGAATGAGTGTAGCCAGGAGGAGGTACCATATAAACTTCCTCGGTGAGATCGCCATTTAGGAATGCATTTTTGACATCCATCTGAAATGCAGGCCAACGCTTAACAGCAGCGACAGCAAGAAGACTGCGAACAGAAGTAAGACGTGCAACGGGGGCAAAAGTCTCTTCATAATCAATGTCATATTCCTGAGTGAAGCCTTTTGCAACGAGGCGAGCTTTATAGCGGTCCACAGTACCATTTGCTTTTGTCTTAATCTTGTACACCCATTTACAACCGACAGCGGACTTACCAGGAGGCAGAGCAACTAAATCCCAAGTATGAGATTTGTCTAAAGCTTGTAACTCATCTACCATTGCCTTCTGCCAAAGAGGGTTAGTACTAGCTTCTCTGTATGTGCGAGGTTCATGAAGGGAAGCTATTGTAGAATAACAATGGTAATCTCGAAGCCAAACAGAAGGTTGACTTACTCTGGTGGGGCGACGATCAGAGGATGAAGGAATGACCGCTGGTGGAGAATCCGCGGGAGGTGCAGACACGTCAGAAGTGGCCAAAGTAGGGTCACCAGAATGTCCTGCTTCAAGATGAGAGAAATGTACATCTGGAATGGAAGAGTCAGATGTGGATGGAGGTGTAGTGTCTTCTGGAAATAAGTCCACGGAAGGATTGGTAAAGAAAGGAACATGAGTAGAGGGGTCGAAGGGATGAATAGAGGAGAACATCTTGTGTTCCCAAAACGTGACATGACGAGACACACGAAGACGATTGGAAGCGGGATCCCAACATCTATACCCTTTATGCTCAATGCCATATCCAAGGAAGCAGCATACATGGGCACGAGGTTCTAATTTCGTGCGCTCATGTGGATGAAGGTGCACAAAACAGGCACTACCAAAAACACGTAGAAGAGTGTAATTTGGGACACTACCATACAAATGCTCGTAAGGAGAGATGTGACCTATAATAGGTGATGGAGTACGATTTATAGTGTAAACAGCAGTGTGACAAGCTTCCCCCCAAAACCGTTCAGGACAAGAGGCAGAGATGAGCAGAGTGCGTACAACATCTAAGATATGCCTATGCTTACGTTCAGCTCTACCATTTTGTTGAGAGGTGCCAGGGCAAGAGCGATGAATGATAGTACCATTTTGAGAAAGAATCCGAAGAAATTCTGTATCTCTATATTCCATAGCATTATCAGTACGAAAAATCTTAATATCTCGTGAAAATTGGGTTTTAACCATAGCAACGAAATCACGATAAATACGAGAAAGTTCAGAACGATTTTTCATAAGATAAACCCAAGTATACCGAGAATGGTCATCCACAAAAATGACAAAATAGCGAGAGCCACCCATGGTGGGAGTGGGGGAAGGTCCCCATATATCAGAGTGAATGAGATCAAAAGGAGCATGAGACACAGAATCACTAGTCTGAAACGGTAAAGCATGATGTTTTCCCAACTTACAAGGCAGACAGTCAAAATGTTTAGTGTCAACAGAACCTAAATGACCACTCGAAATTAAAGAGCTTAACCTAGAAAAGGAAGCATGACCTAACCTAGAATGCCAAGTTTCAGAGGACACTGTGGCAGCACAAGCAGCAAAAGAGGTCGGAATATTTAGGGAAACAAGCTCAAAGAGACGCCCCACTTTACGGCCTGTCCCAAGTGTCTGTCCCGTCCGAGGATCCTGCACACGACAACCATGAGAAGAGAAGTGAATATCAAGACCAAGTTCACACAATTGGCCGACAGAGATCAAGTTAAGTGAGAGTTTAGGAACAAGGAATGTGTTAGTTAAAGATAATGTAGATGTGGAAATGTTTCCTGTAGGACTAACTCTCATATGTGAATTATCGGCAGTAAGAATATGAGGTGCATGTAAAGCGGAGGATTTAGACTGAAATAAGGCAGAATTTGATGTCATGTGATTGCAACAAGCAGAATCAAAGAACCAAGAATCAGAAATACCTGGAGTAGTAGACATAGTAGAAGTGCTAGGAATAGGAGGAGTAAAGGTACCAGATTCTCGGAGAATGGTGCGAAGATCCTCTAGAGACACTAGTGTGTGGGACGATCCATGGGAAGAAGCTTCTACAGTGGTAGCATTGGCAGATGGACCGACAGAGGGACCTCGTGAGGGACCTCGGCTACGAGGCTGAGTGGTCGATCCTGTGGATTGCATAGGTCGTAGCCGATAACAATTTGATGCCATATGACCATGTCGGCGACAATGTTTGCAAAATGGACGGCGCATGGAGGAAGAACTCGAAGCGGCAAGTACTGCATCCGTGGGCATGGATATAGGCACAGCAGGACGTTGCGTTTTCAAGGTAGCTAGCCGAGTCTCCTCATTCAGTAAATCTGATACAACTGTCTCAATAGAGGGAAAGGGATCTCTATGTAGAATGGAAGCTCTCACAGGTTCAAACTCATCATTTAGAGCCATCAAAAATTGCATGACACGAATACGATCACGATGTTCAGCAACTTTGCGAATGTTACTATCCCCTTCCAAGCGTGGTTCACACAAGGTCAACTGATCCCAAATAGCATGCATAGATGATAGAAAATCATTAATGGACTGACCTTGCTCCTGACGCATGTGATATAAAGTCCCTAACAACCGATATTGATGGGCAACATCTGAACTAGAATAACGACGATCAAGAAGATCCCAAGCTTCCTTGGCTGTATTAAAAAGGCCAAACTGGAGTCGAATAGATGGGATCGAAGTGTTTCGAAACCATGTGAGAATCTGATGATTTCTACTATCCCATTCATCCAAACGATCCACAAATTGATCATCAGTTTCTTCAGCAATTCTAGTAGGTTCCCTAATTTGTCCAGTGACATAACGCCAAAGCCGGCGTCCTTTTAAGAAACTTGATATCTCTTGAGACCATAAAATATAATTGGAACCATTCAAAATAGTCTGAATTGGCATTGAGACTTCCATTCTATCCATTCTATCCATGAAAGGCACTTTACTACTATAGAATCAACGGAATGTAGTATACTGAGCGCAGATATGGGAAAAATAACACCAAAAACCAGCTCAGGATGTCGGAATACCTCAAGAACCGGTTGGAAAACACCGAAAACCGGTCAGGAAATGGTCAAACCGGCCGAAAAACCGGTCTGGTCAACGCCGGTCAACGCCGGTCAACGGGAGGTCAACGACCGGTGGCGGTGACGTGGCGGTGACGTCAGCTGGGAGCGTGGGCCAGGCTCGTGCCGGCGTGGGCTAGGCGCGTGCCGGGCACGTCCAGGCGCGTGTAGGCGCGTGCAGGGCGTGCGCGGCGCGTGGATCTCACGCGCAAGGCTTGGAGCGGCGCGTGAGGGCGCGTTCGATGGAGGAATGCGGCGAAATTTGACTGGCCGACTCGACTGAGGGCGGCGAGTCGTGGGTTGGTGTTGGTTTTTGGAAAAACACGGCGGAGGATGTCCAAAACACCGGTGAACAGCGGTGAACGGCGGTGGACTTCCTGAGTCGAAGGCGCAGTGGCGCGGGGCGGTGCGTGCGGCGGCGTCCGGCGACCGTTGATGATGAAATTTCAGGATGTGGGTCGCCTGAGGGCGGCGAGTCTGCTGGTGGTCTCAGTTTTCCGAAATGAGCAGCGGAAGTATGCCGAGCAGATACGAAAAACTTCGGTCTTGTTGGAGAACCGGGACGGCGCGGCCGGTGCGGCTGGCGTCGTGGCGAGCAGAGACGAAAAGACTTCGGTCTTGTCGGAGAACCGGGACGGCGCGGCCGGTGCGGCTGGCGTCGTGGCGGCCACGGGGTGGCAGACTCAATGGGCGCTCCTCAGGTAATAACGGCTCTGATACCAAGTTGAGATGAGTGAAATTTGTGTATATTACTTGCATTGAACTACAAGGCCAAGTCCCTTTATATAGGGAAAGAATGAACAGTAAACCTAAATGAATGAACAGTAAACCTAAATTACATATTATGTTTAACATCTCCGATGAAGCTGTATGCACAGTTGTAACAGCAACTCCCTCCCACCATTCATTAAGCCATTCACTGAACATGGTGTTTTTAGTTGCCTGCTTCCACGTGTCCATCATATAGTTTTGCTCCGCCTGGGTGAGAGCAGAAGTCACCCATGGCAACATAGACTGGAGAACCTCTGCACCCATAGTACCAATTATCCTACCAACTAGTTTTTCTTGTTCCTCAACTGAGAAATATATATTAAATAATGGCCATAGCTCAAGTTCTTCTCGAAAAAGATGTTGATCCAAAGTAACCTTGATGGATCTGCACATGCCTTGAAGTTTGGTGGCCAGCTCAGTGTACTTACTCATGGTCTCGTGGTGATAAATAGACAGAGAGTTTCTTCCATCTGAATTATCTGACAAAAGTTCACTGTTCAAGCATTCATGACATTGTGTGAGCTCTGAAAGTGTAGCCAAAATATCTTCGAAAAGTTTCTCTTCCTGCTTATGGTCTAAAGTGTAGGAGTGACTCACATTGTGAAGAGTCTCTTTGGATTCTATAGCTGGAAATAGTATCTCATCCTCTGCATTACTATGGGCTTTATATAAGCCCCGCAATAATTGGAATCTACCAGTAAACTCCCTTAGGAAAGTGCCATCACAGGTCTTAAGTTTTTCAGATTCAACATCCAGATATTCTAAGTCCTTGCGAATGGCTTTATGAAATTTAAATATATTGTCCGTGGGACGATTAGCATTTCCAACTTCGGCAGAGCATATATCCGTTTCCCAGTTAAAAAGACTGGACTTGAGGGGCGGAGCACATTTGTCAAAAGATGAGGACCACAGAGCTTTTGTTGATTTTGCGGCAGCAAGATAACCAACTCTGAGCTTATTAGAATTCACTCCTAACTCAGGTACACAAGTTTGATCATCACCAGACAACGTATGGCTATAATGAAGTCCTCTAATTTGATGAGCATCACTGTCTCTGTGACAAAGTTTGTTGCCTCGCTTGATTAGCCTTTCACAAGTATGTGCCTCATCTTCACAACCAAGTGAAGTTAACACATCAGCATATGACAATGAAATGCACCTATAAAATAGACCATCTCTCTCCATGCTGCTCCCTGTCAATCTTTTGGCAGGACATCCAGTTGCACTAGAAGACGACCACTTTTTGGAATGGCCTTTCCATGCCCAACCAGAAAAAAGTGTAACCAGCGCAGAATCCGAGAATGGAGCTGCAGCCACAAACTCTGCAAGTTACAAATAGGCTAGACACAACAAAAAGAAAGCTTGAAGAGCAAAGTTAGCTTTTACTTTCCACAACAGTCAAGGTCAAGGGTGTACCTGCCATATGCATATTCTGAAGAAATGACTGTGCTTCTTCTTCGCTCAGGGATCCAATCAGCCACGGTAAGACTGACTCAATTAATCTCAATGGCATCACGCATAAGCTCTGGTACAGAAGTTCTTGCTGCTGCTTGGGGCTGAAATGCTTTCTGGCTAAAGGTAGTACCTGGGAAAGTGATATTTAGAACCCTATCTGGGAAAACAAATGACCATTGACATATACAAGCTATACTGTCTTCGATAAATTGAGCTGAGAGAAAATGTCCTGTCTATGGGAAATTTTAGGTCATCTAAAAAATAGCATGCACACCTGAAGTTCCTCATTCTGGAAGTGCTTCTTGATGGAGTCTATCATCTGATCGGCGTGTAAGCACAACTCTGTATTAAATTCAGCAGAAGATGAGTTGGCTCCATCAGTCTGAATACTTTCAATCAAACACCTAAGCCGATCAAATTGTATCTCTTCTTCAGCATGCTCCTCAGCAAAAGAGAGTTCTAAATCTACAGCAGGGAAGATAACTTTGTCCTCAGCCACGCTGCATTTAAAAAGGAAAGCTTAGAACCTGCAAGTGACAATACAGCCAAAAGAATATTCAAGGTGAAAGGAAATTCTAACAGCTGAATTTTAAGAACATTGATCTGTGAGAAAACCAGTAAAGCAAGTCAGCAAGAGAAAGTAAGCTAGGCACAGCAAGAGACTGATGCAGAAGATCAAAAACAAAATGTACACCTTTCTCTCAGAAACAAACATTGTCTGTCGCTATAATTACTCCTAGGGATCCTTAATGATATGTGCAAAATTAAGGATTAAGTAGGTCTCTCAGGAAAAAAAATATTATCTCTCGACTCCACAAAGCAGCTGCTCAAGCATCCAAGTTTTCTCTGGGAAAAAACCTCCACGGCAATAACAGAGCACCAGTTACAAAGAAATACCGCTTACAAATTTCTTTTCTATCCTGAAATATAGGCCATGAGATATTTTAATTGATTAAAGCTTTGACCAAGTACAAAAAACCCTGGCAACCAAATCCAGTCTCCTAAAATATGTTTTCTGAGATGAGATTCAACAATTATTGAGACCCCATAGCACCCCATCAAGGACGATAAGCATACTAATATAAGATAAAGACCACCATACCTATGAAATATACAAACTTCGGCAATAAAACGCAGCTTCTTGTTAAATGCAGAAAAGTCAGAAAAACCTCCAGAAAATTGTAGTCTTTTGGCTGCCTCAGCTATATCATTCAACTCTCTTCTTATTGCATTATGCCAGAACAAGATTTCATCTATAGGATGAATCATAACAGAATCATCAGGGTCAAGTTTCGCCTCTCCAAATTTCCTTTTACCACTCTTTGAAGATTTAACTGCGCAGTCATCGTTCTCAGCCGGATTGCTCAACATCTTAGATTCAGAGACTTGCAATGATGGGACATAGTTACAATTGTTCCCATTACTCTTACTAGAATCATGCATTTTCACCCCTTCAATCCAGGAAAAGATAACCTTCATTGAAAAAATTTAATGTCAGCCAATATTCTTTTTTCTAGAAATTATGAAGAACATGGCACCCACCCCCCCTCAGGTAATTTTCACCTGTTGAAGAAGCTTTTCTTCAGGGATTATCTTACGCAAGCATTCAAGCATATCCTCATATTCCTCAGGTGATACGGAAGAGAAGAACCAGGGAAGAAACTCGGCCATCATGTTAACAGGGATGCTGCACAGAAACTGCCATACTAACGATGCCTGTTCGTCAAAGGAAAACTTCTCAATAAGCAAAGGGAAGACCTGCAACAGCCAAAGCAAGTCAGAGATACTAGTATTGTAGTTCCAATAAAAAGTAAATTTTAAAACAAACTGAAGAAGAGCCGCGGAGACGATGAAAATGCATTAAAGAGCATTTTCATCAAATAGCAACCTCAAATTGGCATGAACTTATCATTTCTTAACAGTTCATAAACCAAGCTTGTTGCAAGACAATGATTATAAGCAAAACTTCTCATGAGAACTATTTGAAATTAAAAAGCATTTAAAGATGGTTTTCCAGAAAAAATCTTAAATTGCCCAAAAAACTCAAACATCTCCATAATAGTTATCCACTCTATAACATAAAGAGAATGCCGAGTAAATCCCCTTTCAGAAAAAGAGATCGTTTAACAAATCCTTCGACCTTTCCCAACGCCCTTTCCAAACAGAAAATTGATCAGCCAAAAGAAAAACACGAATCCTTATGTACTAATTATCTAATCTTTAAAATAAAAGAGAGTTTATAAAACAAATTACATTAGTATTACTTATTTTGCGGCATGGGATAAGGCTCAAGGAAGCAGACACGACAACCAAGGAGGGAGTACTCATTAGGATCACAGTAAAACTACATTCTTCTCCCCTCTCCTTTACATCACAGACTGAACCTAAAAAAGTTAGTCATGCCGAGAGAAAGTAGTTCCCAAAACCCTATAGATCAATGCCATAAAAATTAGTCTTCCTAAAAATTGCATGGGAAACAATCAACAAAAAGCTTGCAGTACACATTAAAAAATAAGATTAAAGAATAAAAGGAAAAAAGAAAACAGAAAGATGTCAAATAGGTAAAGAGCACAAATGAATAATCTGAGAAACAATACATTATATGGCCACTCTAAAAAGGCGATGCATCAAGGACAGAGAGACCTGTTCCTCCTCCTTGGACAAGTGCTGACTAATTGATGTTTGAAGAGCTCCCACGCATGAGGCCAATTCCCCCCTGTAGTGTTCTTCATTTTGAATTTGTGAGTTCAACAACTCAAACAACTGATCGAATAAAAAACCCTCTCCTTCGTGTTCTAGGGAGTAAGTCCTGGCCACATTCTTCACATGTATATCCAGAGCAGGAAATATGACCTACACTTAAACTGGAAACATCACCAATGCGTGCTGTAACTTCAGAAGCAATATCTCAAGCCATTATCTCATATAGAGCAGCAAAGAAAGGCAAATGGAAAGAGGAAAGACCACAAACCAAGCAGATCATTCACAATAAAAAAATCAATATTAGAAGCAGGAGAATATGAGTGGAGCCTCTATGCCTCCACAGAGATCCCAGTCTCAACTAAGTGTCCTTACACATAGCAAAAGAACCTTCATGGCACTATTAAAGTTGCATGAGAAGCCTTGCCATTTCAGAATCCAGTCTTTTGTCAAGTCTAACATGGCCTAAGGACTTTACGCTTGCTGACCTTCCTTTCAAATCTTTTTGCACCATTCACTTGGAACAAGGTGATGCATAAACAAATTAAGGACAGTTAACTACATGTACGGCACAGAAGTCCTGTGCTGAGTAAGTAGAATATAATGTCAGTACTTTTATACACCAGGTCCATAAGGACAGGGTCAAAGGATCTTATCAAGTTGACAACAGTCACAATTATGACTTGGAGGGTATCAGCTCAGGGAGACTATTCCACGGCTGCCCGCCATTCATTGCCATCGTCCACCGCCCACTGTCCGTTGCCACCATCCGGCCACCGTCCACTCGCCGGTCACTCAAAAGGGAGAAATTTTGTGCTGTTATCAAACAAAATTTTGTTTCGGGAATAGAAATTTTGTGTTATTATCAAACGTGTTTTTTTGCTCAGAAACTCGTCTAAGAACAAAAATAGAAAAATCTATTTCTGGCCAGAAATTGATTTCTGAAACAGAATGGTTGTCATTCGCAGCCTTATAAAGCAAGCATGTGTAACATATTATAATTGCTTTGATTTTACTAAATGCGGAAAATATATCTCTAACATTTACTTACAAATCATATCCATTTTGTCATTCAAAAAACAGTACGTGTAAAAAAATCGACTTTTCCGCTAGCAAGTTTGAAATAAAAAAAAGTTCTTGAAAATCACTTGCTCAGTGAAAAAGAAACAATCTCTCTTATGATAGAATTGTGGTTGATCTAATTCGGAACCGGTGAAGACGCATGCTATAAAATTGATGCACCGACTTTTCTAAACAATTTCCAATCTCATTTAACGAGAAATTCAGTACTACTTGACTCGCGCGTCTCGAGCACAATACGGCGTGATGTTGGTATCTAATCCTCGAATACCGATTAACAAAACATAACAGATCTCGAAGGGAAAATCTGATCAATCACGTACATTTAATTCTTTCAAAAATGAAACGACACAAGCAAATTTAAATTTGATCACGAGGCCCCAAACAATTGCAGCTCTAATTGCTTCTTCTTCTGTTTTTTAACCCCACTTTTCTTTTTAAAATTATCGTAATGCTGGATAAAAATAACTTTATGTTTGACTTTTAACGGGAGATCTCGGTGCGTGTTTTCTTAAAATGGCAGGCGAACCCAGTTCTTCCGCGGCAAAAAAAGAGTAAAAAAAGCATAGATTTTGCGGGGGAGGGGGCTTTTCATCAGCTCGAGCTGACGGAAGAGCTCCGATGTTCGAAAACCCTAATAAAGCTCCACCGCTGCTGATCGGGCCCGATTTCCTCCCCCTCTGATCTTTTGCCAATTTCGGTGGAGCGCTCGCGTCTTTCTGGACCCTCAAAATCTTTTTGCGCGAGCTCCGAGGGGAGCGATCCGGTGCTTCGAATTCCGTGCCGCATTCTTCTTCTTCTTTTGGCGGAAAAAAGTCCTTCTTTAAAAGTTGAATTGTATTTTGAATCTGGGTGGTCTGGAGATTTGAAAAGAAACGGAGTAAAAATCCAGGTGATTGGGCCGATTTCGAGGGGGAGAGAGAACGAGGTGCTGAACGTGTCCAAGGATTCGACTGATCAAGAAATCAAGACTGCCTATAGAAAGCTTGCTCTCAAGTAAGGTTTTTTTTTTTTCTTTTCTTTTCTTTTCTTCTTTTTTTCTCTCTTTCTTCTTTTCGGTGGCTTTGATCTTGTGAGGATCGGCTGGGAGCGCGGGAGTTGCGAACTGGGTCTTGGTGATCGAATTGAAAGGCCCCGAGTAATTGGGGGTTTCCCGGTTTCCCGAATTTGTGCCCGCAGCATTTCGGGCGGGCGGATCGATTATGATGAAGAGGATGGCACGGGAGCTCCTCCAAGTGATCCGGGCGGTGCAATATGATTCCTGAACTTTAAATTTATTAAATATGGCCCTTGAACTTTAGCCTGTGTTTAATGTCGTTTTTGAATTTTTAATTTGTTCAATATGGTCCTAGACTTTTGATCTATGTTGGACTGTTTGAAAATGTTTTATATAGTCCTTGAACTTGAATGAATGAAATAACAACATTAAACATTTTCATACAGTTCGAGGACTAAATTGAACATATACGAATAGTTCGGGGATCATATTGAACAAATTAAAAGTTTAGGACGACATTGTACATTAGGCTAAAGTTGAGAGATTATAATGAAAAAATTTAAAGTTCAATGATCATATTGCACATCGAGTCAAAGTTCAAGGACCATTTATGTTATTATCCCCATAAGTAACTAACATGACAGAAATTCATTTGTGAAATACGGTCTCTAAAATAGATCATTTTCTTTCAAAGCAAACAAATCAATCATGATTAATGCATATATACACTCATCTTGCTCATTTCACACGCTCTTGTCAACTCTTACTCAATCAAACAAAAATTCAATAATCAAGATGAGGTCAGAAAATACATTTTCGTGTGTATATATGTGAAAACGTGCCGAGTATAATTGTGCGCGGTGAGTGTCTTGCTTTATTTATTTTTCTTATTAATGGTATTTTGCTAGTTGCAATTCAATCTTTATTTGAAATTCGTATCTTGTCGTAACAAAATGATAAGAATGTCTGCGCAGTTGCACAAAAAATGTACGCCCACTTAGAGGTGAACTTGATCCTCAGCTTATAGACTCCACCAACAAAACATCCATGCTCGGTTCGTGCTGTTTCTTATTTTTTCTGTTACGGTCTTATCCGGCACGATTATCATAACCAAACATTGTCAAAGTTCGGAATCAAAATGAAGAAGATCGAGATGGTGTCGGGACTCAATCACAGGACTTCGCATTCCCCGGGCTCAGCTTGAGCCACGGCGACTGGAAGAGTTTGCGGGCGGGTTTGGGCGGCGGCATTTAGTGAGAGAACCCGGTTTCGGTCCGGTCGGGGCGCCGTTAAAGCCCCGGCAATTTGTACAATAAAATATAGGGAAAAAACCACCAAAAACCCCAAACTTTGCCATCTGTGACACATTTACCCTGAACTTTTTTTTGTGACACCAAAAACCCCGAACTTTGCTTTTTGTGACACATTTACCCCAATGTATTTAGTCCATGGGCATTTTCGTCTTTTTTGCTTTTTCTTTTTTTTTTCTTTTTTTTTCCTTTCCGGGTAGGGGGGGCCTCGCCGGATCCGGCGAGGGGGCCCTCGCCGCGTCGAGCGAGGGCGGCCCTCGCCGGATCCGCGAGGGCGGCCTCGCCGCGTCGGCGAGGTTCGCCTCGCTGGCGAGCGAGGCGGCCCTCGCCGACTCGAGCGAGGTCGAACCTCGCCGGCGTCGGGCGAGGGTCGACCTCGCTCGAGTCGGCGAGGGCCGCCTCGCTCGCCCGGCGAGGGCGAACCTCGCCGGCGCCGGCGAGGGCCGCCTCACCTGGGCGAGCAAGGGCGGCCCTCGCCGGATCCGCGCGAGGTCGACCCTCGCCGGCGTCGGCGAGGGTCGCCTCGCACCGGGCGAGCGAGGGCGGCCCTCGCCGATGCCGGCGAGGGCGGCCCTCGCCAGGACGGCGAGGCGACCTCGCCGGCGTCCGAGCGGGTCGCCCTCGCCCGATCTGGCGAGGGCCGCCCGGCCGGCGAGGGCGGCCCTCGCCGGATCCGGGCGAGGGCCGCCTCGCTCGGCGCCGGCGAGGGTCGACCTCGCCGAGATCGGGCGAGGCCGCCTCGCTCGCCGCGAGCGAGGACCTCGCCGCCGCCGGCGAGGTCGCCCTCGCACTGGGCGAGCGAGGGCGGCCCTCGCCGGCTCGCGAGCGAGTCGACCCTCGCCCGACGCCGGCGAGGGTCGACCTCGCTCGAGTCGGGCGAGGCCGCCTCGCTCGCCCGGGCAAGGGCGAACCTCGCCGACGCCGGCGAGGGCCGCCTCGCCGGATCTGGCGAGGGCCGCCCTCGCTGACGCCGGCGAGGGCCCCCTCGCCGGATCCGGCGATGGGCGCACTCGCCGACGCCGCGAGGTACGCCTCACGGAAAGGAAAAAAAAAGAAAAAAGCAAAAAGACGAAAATGCCCATGGACTAAATAAATTGGGGTAAATGTGTCACAAAAAGCAAAGTTCGGGATTTTGGTGTCACAAAAAAAAGTTCGGGGTAAATGTGTCACAGATGGCAAAGTTTGGGGTTTTTGGTGGTTTTTTCCCTAAAATATATTTATGACGGGCGGGTTTGGATTACCCGAACCGGGCCCAGCTCAATGATCACCTCTAGGATCCGATGGACTAAACGGGCCAACTCAATTAAGGCCCAAAATGCATGTTCTACGATTCGGGGCCCATCTAAAAAAAAGAAAAAGTCTCCCTCCTTTTAGTCCTCGCTTCAATTCCATTTTGTGGGAGAGAGCAGAGCAGAGAGAGAGAGAGGGAGAGAGAGGCGATGGCTCGGCAAGCCGCCGCGAAGATGATCGGCACAATCGCGTCGGAGAGACCATCCTCTCTCCTCGGCCTGGCTCGGGGCTATGCGGCGGCGGCGGCGGTCTTCGTGGACAAGAACACCCGCGTGATATGCCAGGGCATCACCGGGAAGAACGGCACCTTCCACACCGAACAGGCCATCGAGTATGGCACGAAAATGGTGCCCCCCCCTCTCTCTCTCTCTCTTACGCAGACACAAATGGGCACACTCGCATGCGCTTTATTTCGTATTGCTTCTGATCTTGTTGTGCTAGGAGAATGATCAGCCTCCTTTTCTTTTCTTTTTCTCTTCTTTTCCCGTTAAGGAGATGTGATTTGGTTTGGTCTTTTTGACGTACGAAGCTTGATCTTGTAGCGATGAGTGCGCTTAGTTGGTCCTGGTGAATGAGGTCTCGATTGATAGGCATGGGGAGATTTGTTGACGATCTGGATTTAGGTTGCCGTTGTTCTTCTGGGCCGCGGGGTGATTCGGCGCTGTTGTTTGGTGCTTGTTTTTATAGATCACGCCTTCAAAGAGTTGGAAATACGACAC